GTTGTATTTTGGACATGCTTTGTCAGTTGTCATTCAAACTTGGTACATAGATTATACATGTTAGGATACATGTCCATGACGATTTATTTCACAATTGGATCAAAGATGGTCGACTGGCAGGCATCTTGTTTTTGTTTTTTTATGCGGTATCTTGGACGTGCTCTGTCAGTTTTCATTCAAATTTGGCACATACATGTACTTTATACATGTTAGGATGCATGTCCATGACAATTTGTTTCAAAATCTGGTCAAGGATAGCCGATTGACAGCCATCTGACTTTTTGGCCTTACTACTATATTTCCACAATTTATGTACCATTTTCATTCGTATTTGGCACATCATACATATCAGTGTGTTTCATAATCAGATCAAAGATGGCCGAATAACGACTGTTTTTATTTTGGCCATATTACTATGACACGAAACACGTGTTTTGATGTAAATAAACAATCTGTTGTATACGCCACTTGGAACTCAAGTTTCAAGGACACACTCGCGACAACCCCTCCGCTTTAATATGACGAGCACAAAGAGAACTTAACGGGGATAATAAAAGTCTGGCCTTAGGTTTAGTAAAGGGGGAAGGTATATGGTTCAATTTATATTAATATACCATACCTTCCCCCGTTACTAAACCTAAGCTTCGCAAACATTTCTATGTTCAGTCACAGGATATTCAACTTTTATTTAATTAAACTCCAATTAAAACGCAACCCTAAGTAGGAACACGTTTTAATAGTTAATTCAACTATATTAAAAGTTAATCCGATGTGTGTCGTTAGAACTACGGTAAGACTTGTATGTGTGTGTGTGTGAACCATACATCAAGAACCATACAGTACATCAGTTTTTTATGAAACTTGGTGCACAGATGTTCTGGGCTAATGCGCAGATTTGATTAGGTTTTGGTAAAAACCCATGCTTATTAATCATCTAATTTGCATGATAATTAGCTAATTTTTATCTGTTCTATGACTGTTCCACTCATTGGATTTTGATAGATACTCTGAACTAATGTGCAGATTTGATTTGATTTTTTGATTGTGTAAAAATCCATGCATATTAATTACATTATTGCATAATGAGTATACAATTTTTGGCTTTTCTACTGATG